GGACCTTCCTAATTGCATATTCTAAGGCAAAGTTGAAAAGGAGTGGCGATAAAGCATCTCCTTGTTTTAGACCATTCTGGATAGGAAATTTATCAGACAAATGTTTACCTACACGGACTTTACCATACATTTTGTTTAAACACATTTTACTCAACCTAAATTGTTTCCTGGGTATCCCAAACTCTATCAAAATGTTGTACAATACCTCCCTCCTAACTGAATCGTCGGCTTTCTTGAATTCTATGAATAGGTGATTTACTGTCTCATCATACTCCCATTTTTTCTCCAGTATCTGACGAGTGCAGAAGATCTGATCTGTAGTTGATCTGTTATGTCAAAGCCACACTGATGATCCCCAATAATTCCATCTAAATGGACTTAACCTTGAAAGAAGAATATATGAAGTTGATAGCAGTGATATCCCCTGATAATTACTACAGTCAGTTTTATCACCCTTCTTGTGAACTGGTACAGTAATAGACTCCTTCCACTGATCAGGCAATTTTTCCTCATGCCAAATAGAAGTAATTAGATTGTGGATCTTAGAACGTAATATTTCATCTCCTGCTTGAATAAGTTCTGCTGGAATTTGATCACTACCTGGCAATTTATACCTTTTCAATTTTGCAATAACAAAACTATTAATCATATAAAACACTTGATGTAAAAAATACAATAAATCAGATTATATAAAACAGATGTTATAGTATAAAACAAGAATAAAATTTTAGATTGATGTTTTATATCATCGAATCAGTCGTTGCTTTTGTAATTTCATTGCATTCCCACGGACAAATTGGAATATTCTATGTTTTTTTAATATAAGATTGTATAGGAGGCTCGTGATGTAGATGTAAATTAATGTTAATTGTTTAGTTGGTGCCTCATCTTACAAAGTATTGTCTGTACTGTAGTGAATGTAAACAACGACTTGTCTGTGGGAATGCAATGAAATTACAAAACCAAAAACTGATGCGATAATATAAAACATCAATCTAAAATTTTATTCTTGTTTTATACTCTAACTTCTGTTTTATATAATCTGATTTATTGTATTTTTTACATCAAGTGTTTTATATGATTAATAGAACTGTATCCAATTTTAATAGTACTGCAGTTCAGTGGCACATATATGTGAACTGTGTATTTGCCTGATGATGGCTATTGATAGCCGAAACATGTAGCAGAGCCGAAATTAGGCACTGATCTTGATAGTTGTTGTGTTGTGACGGTTAATAAAGAGGTTATATAGGGAATCTCAGTTAATATAACTGTGGTCTACAGGCTGGATGGCCAGGGTTCAACGTCGGGCAGGGGTGAGAGATTTTTCTCTGCTCCACAGCATTCAGATCTGCTGTGGTGCCCACCCAGCCTCCTATACAGTGGGTGCTGGGAGCTCTTTCCCCTGGAGTAAGTGTGGCCAGAGCATGAAGCTGACCACTTACCTCTGTCTAGTGTCCAGTTCAAGAATGGTGGAACTGTGCCTCTGCTCTCCATTATGCTTCATGGTGTTGTGCTTAATGAATGAAGCTCAAGGATGACTTCACCTTTTACCTAAGAGGCCCCTGATATATCTAAATGTTTCTGTTCAAATACAAGAGAAATGTAAAGCTGAAAAACTGAGTAGGACTGCAAATACAGTGTACTTCAAATTATCCATGTGCTAAGAAGACCAAGAGATACATGCATAATTGAAAGACAGGGAATTTTGAGTTTTGGGTCTGATGGTGTAACCATGGTGACTGTTGGCTATAGAAATTTGGAAATTTGTGAATTGCATCCAGTTTGTTCAGTTATCTCGAAAATTGTGTCACAAAAAGTGTGCAGGACCGTATGATATGTGATTCATTCTTTCTGTAAACTCTTGTTCAGAACTTTTTCCCTGCAATAAATATTCAGTGAGTTACATTTCTAAATATGAACAGAAACATACATTGATCTTCATGTAAAATGGTTGTTAGAATTGTCCAGTGAAAATTAAAAGTGAAATGGTTCAGCAGTTGCTCATAAATTTTTCCATTATCAGATTTCATGAAAATGTATCCAGCAGTTCTCTGGTTGTTTCATATATATAGACAGTTTGACAGAAGAGCCAAGCAAATTCCACGAGATTGTAACTGCTCATGAAAGGTGCGCAGATAAGACACAACTTGACAAGCCACATATGGGTACTTGAGTGTACTGTAATTGTTAGTTCCTCTACTAACTGACCAAGTCCATGGAGCTGGGTCATTGTTGAGAAGCCACTCAAGAATTTCTGAACATTTTATGGAACCTGGAGGTTAATTACTGTGTTCACAAGAGCCCACCACCAGTTGCTATCTTGAACCAGATGAATTCATTCTATACCTCCCAATCCTATTTCCCTAAGATCCATTTTAATATTATCCTCCCACCTAGGTTTTCTAGTGCTCTCCTTCCTTCCAGCTTTTCCACCAAAACCCTAAGTACATTCCTCTTCTCTTCCATGTATGCTACATGCCCATCTCATTTTCCATGACTTGGTCATTCTGATTTTATTTGGTGAAGAGAACAAGTTATGAAGCTACATGCCTTGTAAGATTCTCCATTCTCCTATTATTTTACCACTCTTGGGTGTACTACATTATAATATTAATGTTTCAGGTATGTCGAGTAGCATATGAGATAATGCAAACTCTGTATCCAGATGCAGCCAAACGGTTCCGCTCGCTTGATGATATCTATTATTATGGTGGTCAGTCCTCACACATACAAATTGCCGTTCTCCCACATCGTGCACGTGATGTGAATGAGATGAATCTTGAACAGGGTGACTTAGTGGGCATTGCTGGTAATCATTGGGATGGTTACAGTAAAGGCAAGAATCTTCGCACCAATCAGATAGGTCTTTATCCCTCCTTTAAAGCACAGGACCGCATCGAAGCTGCAGATTTCCCAACATACCCACAGGTACCACTTGTTAAATCATCAAACCCAGATCTGTGAGAAGATTACTATTCATAACACAATGTGAGAATTGTTAGAATGACACACATCTGCATCTGGAATGTTTTCATATTTTTGAAAAGGCATAAATTGAGTCTGTAGCTTGTATAGGATCAAAGGTGGGGCAGTTGTTAAGGAAGCTTTTATGTTTGCAGTCCCACACTACATGGCTGATGTATCTTTAAACTGAAGCTACAAATATGATACTCTGTGAGAGAATTTCAATGCTTAAACCCTATAAAATCCAGTGGTTTTATATGTACCACCTGCTATAATGCACAGAAACTCTGTGTTCTGCCCACAGAATGTATTTGTGCATTTCGTATAGTTTCATCAGTAATCAGCAGTTATTTCCCTGAATGGCATTAATCTGTGTATCTTTGTAGCAGAGACACAATGTGTTTCCTGTGAGGTACACACTGAATTTTTATACACATATTGACTTTTTGAACATTACGAAAAACAACAGCTTGGAGACTCGACTCTTTCTATCGCTCTCAGGTCCAGAGATAGGGACTAGCTCTATTGATTGTGTCCAACTGAGTAGGCTTTTACCTGAGGACAGAGACAGAGTCCAGTCTCCAAAACATTTTTTAAAAAAAATGCAGGACATTGGATAATGTCCAGAAAGTAATTGTCATAATATACCATCATCACAAACTTCTAGATCTTGTCGAATTTGTATATATGATTTGGAACTTCAGTCTTTAAAGGGTTAACTGTAAAAATATGATTTTTCTTGAGGATTACAGCCTTCATAGTACTCATCAAAAGAATGCACAATCAGTATATGGAACCAGTGCTATTTACTTGAATTTTTAGTTGAAAATAGTGAACATACATATGGAAATCCTAACATAAATATATCACTTCACCTGTTTTGTGTATAGCTCATATTGTCTTCCAGTAGTACTAAACAGATATTTAAAATATCTACAAAGAGTACTGTCTTCTGGGATGTGACGCTATGTGGGCTGCTAGAAAATAGAAACAGCATGATCTTAGACGTCGATAAATATCTACCAGACTACATGGCATCACATCCCAGAAGATGGTAATCATCAGATTTAATAAGTAATTATGTAACTCCTTACTAGACCTGTAGTAGAAATGTTGAATGGTATGGCTAACCTGATTGCTTCCTTCTTTGAGCTCTGAAATGGAAGACTCACCAGACCACATCACTAATATTATTTACCCCTATGTATATGGTGCTGCTGAATTTGAATACTGATGTTGAATGTTGGCATAAGCCATGATAGAATGAACCGTAAATCATATGAGGGAGCAGTGCTGTTATCCAGCAGTTTAAAAGCAAGTATGTAATATTGTTTATATGCAGATATGTGTAAATGTAATCTACGTTATGTAAATGGGGAAAAATAACTGCATGTTCAATTAAAATATCTTCAGTGAATTATGTTAGTATGTACAGTGTAAAGCTACCAAGTGAAGTGGGTTTGTACTATGTGTTGCTTTCAGTGTGCATCGTGTGAGCATTCGCGTACAGGAACCTGAGCATTCAGATACACATTAATATGTTTGGTTTTTATGTGTTCCTAGAAGATATGGAAGTCCCGAAGATTTCTGTCCTTCAGACATCAAAGAAAGACAATCTGAAGTATTTTATATTGCTGAAGCAATAAAATGTGATAAATATATGTGAGCTAAAATTGTATATTAAGTTTTATATGATGACATATTGTACACAGTGTTATTTCTTGTTGTAAAATGTTTAGGCGATAGTTATTGATAGCACGAACAGTGAAAAGCAATGAACAATATTGAATTCCACTCTAGAGTATGTTATGTATGAAGACAGAAATTCATACTGAATGTACTCCTTTTGAGGGATGACTGATTTCACCATAACTTTCTGTATTCATGAACTGAATTAATAATTTTATACTTTCTGAGGAGGAATTGATTTACTCTTAAATCATCCAAGAATAGAAATATTAAACCTGTCAGTATTATCAGGTTTGAAGTCATAATTTAATTCAAATTCATTGTCCAAGAATAGAGAATTTTAAATCACTGCTTCTGCAAGTCTGACGGCCATGCTTTAACTCATGGCAATGATATTGCTATTAAAAGAGTACCACACTCAGCCAGTTGGATTGTGTGGTGTGGTCACATAATAATGCATTACACGGCCAATGAAATTTAGCCTTCCAAGACATAGTTTCTGTTTTAGAAGTTCCAAAAATACTGACCTTTATTCAACAACAGTTCAAGTTTTGAAGTATATATGAGACAAATTCCGTCTTAAGTGCAACACTTTAATTGTAGTTCTTTCTTCTTCCCTTCCTCTACACTACATGTTTCGGCCCTAAATGGCCATCATCAGGTGTGTATTCTTACGTAGCTGCTACACTGCCCGTAGTTTAAAATTTAAAATCACCAGTCTTTCCAATTGTATGTATAAAATCTTTGTTAACCTACACGCGTCAATTTGATTTCTAAAATTGGCACTTTTTTAGAACTTCAATTCAAATTAAAATGTCTATAAATTTTCTGTTCTTTTTCTTTTTCCAAATTTTTAAAAATTTTCTCGGGGTACACACCGTATGTCTGTAGTGCTATGTCTATGTCTATACTATGTCTATAGGCCACTTCTTGTTTTATCGCTGTTCAGGTACTGTTCTGTGTAGGCTCTCTGTGTGTGTGTCGCTGCTTATCTTTAATATGTGCCGAAACATGTAGTGTAGAGGAAGGGAAGAAGAAAGAATTACAATTAAATTGTTGCACTTAAGACAGAATTTGTCTCATATATATTGTGTGAGTGTAACAGGATGCTTAAATATAATATCAAGTTTTGAAGGATTACTGTAGTTTCAGAGAGATAACTGTGATTTTAGTATTTGTAATTACCATAATTTCCAAGAATTTTTTATGTATTAAAATTCATTTTGGATGAAGGGTCCATTATCAGGGTTGTCTGTATGACACAAAATACAGCCTTGTTAACTTTTATTGTCTAGGAATGCAGATTTTGAATCTTCAGCTAATATGAGATTAGGAGCCATATTCTTCAATTCAGGGGTGACAATTATCATCTAAGAATAAAAGATTTTAAATCTCCCAGTTCTACAGGGCTTGTGGCTATACTTTGCCAGGGATATACTAGTATTGAAAACATTCAGCATTCGGCCTGCTGGACATCACATGTGCACATATGTAATAGTGCAACACAGCTGTTAAAGGTTAATGAAGTCTTATAATAATTATGATGGTAGTTACAGCAGTCCATGTAAACATCTCTGTTGGTACAAGTTCTTTATTACAACCATCACAACACAAATACACTCAACTCTCGATTATCCAGGATAATGGCGGGGACAGAAATCACGATTAATCAAAAACCCAGTTAAGAAAAATTTTATTAAAAGTAGTATTGTAATACTGTACCTTCATAATACTATAGGCCTACCTGTATTTAAATTTATTCAGCCTCATTCTTATGTCATCTCATGGCCTATTTAATGCTTTTTTTTTACATTACACTGAAGTATGAATTAGTTATTTCAATCACAGTGTTCAACAACATCCAACACTTTACGAATATTCACACTTAACACTTAAAAAAAAATTAATATTGTTGTTTGCTTTATCGCGGCATTTTCCTTTTTACAGATATCTGTACGAAGCCAACGTAATATTAGCTTGTCAATTAATAAACTGTTATCTTCACTCTCAAGATAGTCTAGTAAAGATTCCAAATGATTAAGAGCAGCACCATGCGATATTTTCTTACTAGCAGCACTGTCCACCTCTTCTTCATTCTCACTTTCTTCCCGCTCTTCTGGCTGCATCCCCACTGAACTTACGATTTTGTCACTGCTTAACATTTCGAAGCCTGGCTCACACGAGTCACAGTCAAACCACTCTCTTATATTGTCCTCATTGACTTCTTCACCGCCATGAACTTGGTTAGCCAATTTTGTCAATTCTATGGCTATCTCATTTTCACTGAATCCAGTGAATCCATGGATTTCATCATCTTCATTAGTGATGAAAGGCATCAGTTTCTTCCATAAATTTTTAAATACGGCTTTACTGTATCCCACAGAGTTGAAATCTCGTATATGGCATATGTGCTTGTTTAGCACAAACTGCTCCTGTTATTGTTGTTCCCTGTGCCCTTAGTTGATTAAACCAGATCAGCATTGCTTTGTTGAGATCATCATATGTTGATTTTTTCATGGTTTTTCTCTTCTTCATTCCGCTTGAATTAGAAGACGAGTCAAAGGAAATTAAATGATTCTTTTGTTTTTCAAATCACGGACAGTTTGTTCTTCAATACCATATTGCATTGCTAATTGTTTGACTACACCTCTTTTTCCCATCTGATGGATATTTCAAGTTTATGTTGAATACTTAACACAACACGCTTCCTTTTACACCGACATTTTGCTAACGCACATGAAGATCGATACAAAGAGACTAACTGGGGCGGTGTATCTGTCCTTGAAACTTTCCACAAATCCTTGTATTCTTTCACCCCTACCCTAGAACATTGTGTTCGCATAACGGGACGAAATAATGCAGAGCTCGGTTCACACTAGTGCGAAAATAGTGTTACAACTCACCATATGAAACAAAAGTGAATGAATATTAAACAACATATAAGCCTCAAAAAAGCCCCGATTAAGCCGCAAACCGGTTTATCTGCCCCCCGGATAATCGAGAGTTGAGTGTAATATCAAGATCAGTGCTTAGTTTCGGCTCTGCTACAAGTTTCAGCTATTAATAGCCATCATCAGGCAAATACATGGCCAACATATATATACCACTGAACTGCAGTACTAGTAAAATTGGATACAGTATATTAATTATATAAAATACTTGACATAAAAATACAACAAATTAGGTTACATAAAACAGAAGTTATAGTATAAAACAAGAGTAAAATTCTTTGATCGATGTTTTACATCATTGAGTCAGTCATTGGTTTTGTAATTTTGTTGCGTTCCCACAGACAAATTGGAATATTCTATATTATATATATTTTTATATTCTAATATATATTAACAACACAAGAGTCGTTGTTTACATTCCCTACAGAACGGACAATACTTTGTAATTAACATTAATTTACTACATCTACGTCATGAGCCTCCTATACAATATTATATACACAAAATATAGAATATTCCAATTTGTCGGTGGGAATGCAACAAAATTACAAAACCAACAGCTGACTCGATGATGTAAAACATCGATCAAAGAATTTTATTCTTGTTTTATACTATAACTTCTGTTTTATGTAATCTAATTTGTTGTATTTTTATGTCAGGTATTTTATATAATAAATATATTGTATCCAATTTTACTAGTACTGTGGTTCAGTGGTGTATATATGTTGGCCATGTATTTGCTTGATGATGGCTATTGATAGCCGAACATGTAGCAGAGCCAAAACTAGGCACTGATCTTGATATTAGTTGTGCTGTGACGGTTGTAATAAAGAACTTGTATATTGTAACACAACAGGATGCATGAAATTAAAATTATCTCTGTTGGTCTTCATGTGTACATATTTTTAAATAGTCTTCTATTTCTGGTGAATATTTTATATTCTTGATTGAGACTGAGTCGCTTGGTGCACCATCTGCAAGTGGGCCTATTGTGCCATCTCCAGATAATGAAAGAATATAGCAATGGTGAACTGATAACTGGCAGGGCAAAACTGAAGTACTTGGAAAAGAACCTGCTCAAGTGCCACTGTGTCCACCAGAGATTCCACATAGACTACCCTGAGACTGAACTGGACCTCCATGGGAAGAACCCAATGTCTTAACTACCTGAGCTATGCTGTGGCCTTTCCAGTTAATAAAAGTCCCCTTTTATACCACAAGAGGTTTATGTATGTCAAGCACTTCATTAGGTCAGGCCTCAGATATATGGTACCTTTACACTTTCCTTAACCCAACAATGCAGGCTCTGAAATGTCATTCAACTATTTTTGGATGGCACCCAAAGAAAATATTCCCATGACAATACCAAACACTTGTCACGCGCCATTAAGATCAAGATATTTTTAATAATGGTAGTTCAAATAAGATCTGAAATCAATGTGCTGTTCTTACATTGTGTGTTCTGACAGAATACTCTAAATGTACTTTGCATTTATACAGGGAATATTATGATCATTGTTGCTATTTGTCTGTAATTTGACTTGATAGGATCTGATTTGTATATCTTGGTTTGTGAGAATGGAAAATGAACAATTCTTTCCATAAGGTATATTTTAATGTATGTAAGTTTTTTATTGTTTTTATTTATTAAGTGTGCAACATCAGGATATTGAAGACTAGGAAGTGGCATTAACTATACTGAGGCCTTGAAAAGAAGTTTCATAGTTTGTGGGGATGACGGAACTTGAACAACTTGAAGAGATATAGGAGGTCAGTCATGCAGCTTCTTTCCATGGCCTAATTGCAATGAAGGTTTGCCTTTAATTGCATGTGTTGTGGGGTGGGGTGCCATATTCCATACTTATGTCTTAAAAATTGACATAAGTAAGAGTGGTTGTATGTCATGTTTTCAGGTGATTTAAATGTCAAGTTCTACCGAGCTAGATCTGATTTCTACTACAGTACATGTTAAAGAGTGTTCCAGATGTCGGTATATTTTTCATAACTTATTACAATAGTTTTAATAATAATACTCCACTATTTTGTTATTTTTGCAACTGAATATTGTGAACTTTTCCATTATGCCATAAATACATTAGCATTTTGAAAATTGGTACAACTGTAAGTTAAATATAGTCAGTACTTCAGTACTATTTGCTATTTTAATTCCTCCTCATCTTTTTAATCAAGTATCTATAACTGCACCACAACCAGTCTTTGCCTTGCATCACATAAATTTACCATAAAAATTTAAGTCTGTTACCAGGCATGTAACAAAAATGTCCCTATTATGAAAATAAAATGTAGATCAAAATTTTGTAATCTATTCTGAATACTCAGTCACAAGAACAAAATAGTATAGACGTTTCTGTATTGGACACCCTTATTACAAATTTTGCCCTTAACAAAGTTTAAATAATAGCCTACAGCAGGCAAATGTCATGTCTGCTATCGAGCTTCAACTCCTCACAATACTGAAATTAATATCGACCAAGACATGTTGTTAGATCTTAATGTATCCATTATTATCTCTCTATTGAAGTGTATCTGTGAATGGGATGAATTAATTTAGTAGAATATTTTGATACTACTATTGTTGAAATTGTACTAAAGAAAATATATGTATGGATGGTAGCACTGTTCTTTGGCTGTGTACATAGTATATATTATTTCCACTCAGCAAGTTGGCATAGCAGTAATGCTCTAGACTTATATTTAGAGGGAGGTGAGGTGCTCAAACTCTGAGCCAGGACCATCAGCTGACCTAACTGAGATTTTCATGATTTTCCTCAGTCTTCCTTTGCTGATACCAAATAGTATCTTTATTAGGCCATCCTAAGTATTAGAATTTCGTGGTAGCCTGATATTAATTTGATGGAATTGTTTAATTTTGGGACAGCTAATTTTTCCTGTGTGTAAATCTGAAATTTGTTTTAAAATATTGCACTTTGTCTTTTGTAAGAATCTTTTACTTGCTTTACATATACATATTTATCATTTGTGTAAAAAATGTTGTCAAAGAACTGAATCACTGATAGACCAAGTACACATTGTGTCATATTGTTTTTGTCGTAATTCAAGTAAAGCACATTGAGTGTTTCATGTATTGAAGCAATTATGTGTTATTACTGTTCATTGAAGCTTGACATACCAGGTGGAACAAAAGAATAGATGATTTTATTATAATATGGTAAAACTGAATGACTGTGTGCACTTGAACGAAACTTACGTCAGTTGTATAGAAAATACCTAAGTATAGGTGTACAAATGTTTAGTTTTTAGATGGATGATAGACAGAGTCTGAAGTGTTTATTCATTTTAGTTTATTTATTATACAAAAAATTATTTTCCATTTTGAATATTAAAAATAGGCATTTTATATGTAATTAAACACATTAATGCAGACAAGTAAATAAACAATAATAATAACAACAATTTCATTAACATAAATCTAAGTTGTTATTGAGAACTGAGAAATGAAACTTATAAATATTTAATTGTGAAATGAAAAGTGTAGATATTTGGAGAGGATAATAATAATAACAACTCAGTTTAATTGTTTTTTATATTCATGCAAATAATAATAGTAACAATTACACCATATTTAAAAAACGTTTGGGGAGAACTTTCCTGGCTCTAAATACGGCAACATTCTTGCAAACAACATTAGCAGCTGCTGCACATCTAGCATAGGGACAATTTTTAGATGAGGAGCAAACATAGAATAATGCAAAGTCTCTGATATACCGAGCAGGAACTCGGAGACCAACAATTTCCGAACAAAAGGGCAGAATTTCAAACCAAAGTAAACTTGAGTAAGAAAGAGAGCATCGAGGCGATGTCTCCTAGTACGTAAAGTGTGCAATTTTAACTCCTCAAGAGCAAGGGAATAACTGTAATGGACTTGAGGATAGAAACAATTAAAACAAAGGGCTGCAAACCTCTGCTGGATGCATTCCAGCTGTTGGCAATAGTTGGTGTAATCGAATTCCAGACTACAAATGCATATTCAAGCTCAGATGTAACTAATGCAGTGTACAATCTGAGCATACAGTCTAGAAATGAGAAATTGAAAGTAATGTTATGAACTAGACCCAAGTTTAACACAGTGAGAGAGGATATAATTAACCTGGTCAAGGAAATATAGTTTAGCATCAATAAACCCTCCCAGGTCTTCTATAGAATTGGTTGGGCTATGGATGATTGACAAAGTTTATAATCATAGATAAGTATGTTGAATTTCCTGGAGAAGGATATAACTTTAGTTTTACTGATGTTGAGTTTCATACAGTTAGCAATGCACCAACCTTGTATAGAGTTAGTGTCAGCCTAAAGTAGATAGCAGTCCTGAGGAGAATTAACAGCTCGGTAAATTTTGATATCATCAGCAAATAGTAGACACTTAGAGTGGGCAACTGCATCACATATGTTGTTAATGTCGAATGCATTGCTCAGATCAAAATAAATGGCATCAGCTTGTCTCTGAGAGCCGACTAGAGGAAATAAAATCAGCGTAAGTTACCAAATTGGTGCTTGTGGATTTAGTTTTTGAAAAGCCATACTGATAAGGGTAATTTTAGATTTTAGATAATGGAAAACATGATCATAATAAATTAAAATATTTTAGAAAAATTACTCAGTAGGGATATAGGCCTATAGTTGCTAACAGAGGTGCTTTTGCCTTTTCTGAGAACAGGAACAATTGCTGCTTGCTTGCATCGGGTGGGAAAATAATGCTGAGATAAGCTTAGATTAAAGATATGTTTAAGAATAGGTACAAATATATCAGTACAACCCTTAATAATGAATCCAGGGATGCCATCAACTCAGGCACTTAATGTATTCTTGTAGAGATGCATTTAGGAATTGGGGAATTTTGCTATTGCAGTCCCAATATATATTTTCTTTATTGATGTTTGTTGCAAATAATATGGGTTTATATCACACAACATCACAAATTCATGGCCTTAATACTAGGCGTAATTTTGATCTTTATCGCCCTCAGACAAATTTGACAACTTACCAGAGAGGACCTTACTGTTTTGGTATTAAACTTTTTAATCATCTTCCTTTAAGTATAAAAGAGTTAATCCTATTACACTTTAGATGAATATTTTAATTAGGGATAGTTACTTGTGTAGCTGTGACCCATTATTTGATCTATTGTCATGTATATGTTCCAATTTTGTATTATATTTTACATACACATGGTAGGTTATGTAGTTGCAGTGATGTGTAAGGTTTCATATGCTTATTTATTGTTGTGTATTTAAATGCATTGTTCTGTTGACTACTTGCTGATTTAGCAAGCTTGTGGTGTAACAGGTTCTGTATCCAATGGCTTCAGCCTTCTATGGATGTGCTGGAACATGTAATAAATACAATACAACACAATGGCTTTGATAACGTCTGAATCAGAAACAGATGCTAAAGGTAAGAATTCAAAAGATGACAAAAGGTTGGGGAAGACAGTAGGACAAGGATTGTGGTATACTGATTGAAAATGCTTTGAAAATTCCTCAGCAATATCATTAGGTTTGATTAATTGCTTACCATCAACCTCAAGCTGGATGGACGTAGAATCTCTTTTCCTAATGGAGGCCACATATATCCAGAATTGCTTGGGTTGAGACTTTAAATTTTCGTCCACAGATTTAAACCATCTAAGTCTCTCAGACTTTAATAGTAGCCTTAACTTGCTTATGATAGAAAGAAACTTTTTGGTAAAGGCAGTCGGATTTCTTTTTTTAAAACGTCTGTAAAATATAATAATTTTCCTCATATAATACCTTAAGGAACTAGAACACCAATGTGGAAATTTTGTATGAGTGTTTATGATGCCATGGGGAATTGCATGTTCCATGGCATCTTGAACAGCCACATTGAGGCCAGTGACAGCAGAATCCACAGAGGTGGTACCATACACACAGGAGCAGTCGTAAGTTGAAAGATTAATAAAAAGCAATGCATAATCCCCAGACGAAAATTTACGGTATGAATATCTATAATTTTGAATACAAGTGGCAAGGGGCAGACAAAAATTGATAATCAGAGGGGGGTGATAATTGTCAGGCTTTCTTAGTCCAGGATCAACAGGAGTAATACTTATGTCGCTTAAGTTAGAAAAAATTAAATCAAGTAGATAGCTGCTACTGACAGTGTCAGTGCACTGGTTAAGAGTAAGAAGACACGTGGAGTTGTAGATCGCATCTTCCATAAGTTTAGAGTAATAATGGGAATTGGACAGAGATAGACCACTTTTCTAGTCGAAACCAGGGGCGTTAAAGTCCCCAACCATAATTACTCGAAAATTATTGGTATCCAAATTGTTTTCTAAAAAACGAAAATAGTTGGCAGTGTTTTCAGGTTTAGCGTCGGGGAAAGTAATGATTTCCAATGAGTAAGTTAAGACCGTCGGAAGTGGGAATTTCAACCCATACATATCAATAATAATAATAATTCAATTCAATTCTTTATTATTAATGTGCCGAGTCAACAGCCGCAAGACCAATTACAGACACTTCAGTCATAATTTCTTTTATTAGAATCATGTTGAATGGGACCTCATATTCTTGGATTATGGCTTGAACACATTGTTTTGGTGGGTGAGTGGTTTATGAGATGTTGCCTTGTGTACAAGAAGCCACACATTTTCAGTTCTCTGATGCAGTAGTTACAGAGACTGAAACCATTCTCTATGGTTGTTGTATGCCAAGTGTTTAAGTCATTCAAAGCATGGTAAGCCAACAAATTTCATTCAGGCAGCATTGGGTTAACACTTCAAAAGGTTGGTAACATGATGTAAAAATGCCTATTTTAAAAATTCAAAATGGAAAATACATTTGTGTGTAATAGGTCAACTAAACTGAATAAATACTTTTAGGCACACACTTGCATGTGTTTTACATAATATATATGTGTTTCATTCCAAGTTGGTGTTTATTTGTACCCTTTTAAAAAATGTCATTTTTGGGCCACCCAGTATACTGTTATGATTATCGTCTGTCCCTGTTTCCTAAAGTATATGTGATAATATTTCTTCCAAAGTAAAGGCACTAGTAGAATTAGTCTTCTGGCATTTTCATAGTTTGTGATTTGGCTTTATGTTGTTGTGTTCAAAGTACACCTGTACATTACTTCCATTTTGTGTAACCTTATGAAATTGAGTATACAGACATCACCTGACTTAAAAGTTTCATCTTATGTGAATTTCATGTTAACATGATTTCATATTGCCTCTTTCATTCATTTTTAGTGATTAATAAAAACAATTGAATTATTTAAAAAAAAATGATTCATAAATGGCTATGAATGATATTAAAGATATCTGAATTACACATTTTCCAATCAAAATTGAAGGCAGCGAAAATGGAGTACTTGAAATGAGCAAAAATTTTAGTCAGCACAATTTGAAGTAGCACATCCACTCTTGGGAACACAGCTATTGCTTAGGTCAGAGGGTTGTCTGTGTTTGATATACTATTGAATAGTAAACATTTTTGTATTCAGGGTATCATGCATGTGGTTTTACAGCAGTTACTCAGGGACTGAGTAGAGTATCTTTTTAGTCATTGGTCTGCACATATATTTTTGCCTGTAGGACAGAGCTTTTCCACATGAGACATTAAAGGTTATATGGAATATTGGTGGAGTAATGGATATGTATTTACAAACTTTGGTTAAATAGATGAAGGCTGTCCAAGTTACGGGCCTTGAAATTGTAACATTTCTATTGAATAGTCTAGTGCACACAGAATTCTGCATATCTGCATTTCTAAGAAATATGTTGGTATGATGCAATACATGGGTGACACCAGAAATTTTTCCAGACAAGCAGTGGGGGGGCAGTCAGAAAATCAGTTCTTTAAGTCTATTTTTATTGATCATCCTAGAGCATTCAGGATGTAAGAATAATTTCTTTAAAACACAGAGCTTTCTGGGAAAGATGGTATTCTTACATGTTATAATAAATGTTGATAAAATCCTCTTGGGCTTTCAGCAGTATTGATTAAAATTTACTGACAATTCAGGGACCATCTCTGTCCCCATTATCAGGGTTTGATATGTCTGTCCTTGTAAAGGTGGTGATTGGGACAGAGATGGTCCCTGCAACATTGGTAATTTTTAACCACTGACATGACTTATAGCTCAAAAGAATTTTATCAGCTTTAACTGTCATGAAAGCTTCAGATTTTATATGATAAAGTGTTTCAAGGTGATTACATCTCCAGACAATGCTGCATGACTGGTGAAGTTTGTCTTTATAATGTAAACTGTGTACATAATATGTAAACATGTGTAAAGTTGCTGCAAGATGAACTTTAATTGAAGGTTGGTGTGATTCTTGGATACTTATTTCTGACATATCACCTTTCCAATATGTTATATCTTGAATTTGACAAACCATATATGAGTATTATATCTTGTTACAATAGAGTCATGATTATATGAACCTTTAGGTATATTCTGTGAGGCATATTCTTAACATCTGTATGTGTAATAACCAAACATCCATCTGCCTCACCCATATATTCAAAGTGGCATGTTGTAAAAAGAAAGTTGCATGTACAAAAATGTTCTTGAAGAGATGACCCTGGTATAGTTCTTTTTTTCCTGTGTCAAAAAGAGGCACATGGGAATCAAGAGTTTCCCCCATAAATAAAGTACTAGCATTGTGATGTCAGTGAATATGTGCCTTTCATATATTTTCTTATTTTTCATGGTAGTGTAGTATGTTGCAAAAAAAAGATTGGGTGTTTGCATCCAAGAATCCAAGTTATTAAATATAAGCAATCACCATGAGCAACAGAAATTGTTTCTCAGATTGCAGGGGAAATTTATTTACATGGGTGCGAAACATGTTCTGAAGGTCACAGATTTTACATGTGAGTCAAAGACACCAAGAATGTTAAAACGTGAGCAACCACCATCAACAGGAAAAGTGTAAACCACATTGCAATGCAGATTTTTCTGGGTGGTCATAATATTTCTTAGTTAATATTGGTAAGCAGTATTAGCTGTGTTTTTTGGGTACTGTTCTCTGTGTTTGTAACTCTGTATGCAGTTATAAAGCACATAAAACGCCAGAAATAACCTGTTTTCACTGTTCATAAAACAACACACTAGTACTGTATACCATTTATTGAAAATTATTTTGAGTGAGGTAATAGTGGCGATGCTCATTACAGATCATGTTGCATAATCATTAATAATGAACATGAAAAATACCCAGAAAACAAAAAGTATGTGTATAGTGTATAGGTATATAAGGAAAAGTAAGAGTGTATGATAAAAATAAAACCAAGACACATGCAGTCACCTCTTGATCAGTGTTTTAAAATGGGAATTATAGAACTGACTTTCAGAACAATGAAACCTTCATCCAGGTGCGCTTGTGGAACTTTAATAGTGGCAACTATTTACTCGTATTTACAACTGATACAAAATAAATGCATGTTTCGAAGTGTTACTGTCCTTCAGTGTAGTCACCAGCATTGTGTCCAACCCATTGACAGCGATGTAGAAGTCATAGGATACCATTAGCAGCGCCTGTTGTGTTGATAGTTCGAATGGAGCGATCTACTGGCTGAAGAATCTCTGGAACAGCTCTGAAGCGAATGCCACAAAATGATTCCTTCATCTTAGGAATCAAGTCGAAGTCACAAAGGCTTAAGTCCAGGGAGTATGATGGATGGTACAGCACTTCCCAGCCCCATCAATTGAACAAATCAGCCACAGCTTGCACTGCGTGCGGCCAAGCATTTTCCTGAAAAATGATGGATGGGTTCTGCAGAAAGTGTCGCCGCTTCTTTCTCAAAGCTGGTCTCAGGTTGTGTTCCAAAAATGAACAGTAATACTGCGCATTGGCAGTCTGCTGTCAGGGAACGTCGTATCGTAGCCATTTCTGCATTTATGTCAAATAATGTGGAACCCATCGTGATGCAATTTTTCTCATGCCCAGGCGTTCCTTCAGAATGTGAAGCACAGTCATATGCACTAATCCTGTCTTGGGCCAGCTCACGAATTGTATGGCGTCGATCACTCTCCAGTAATGTGGAAAGAGCATACACCTCTTCACTGACACTAGGACACCCTGGCCAACGCATGTCTGCCACATTTTGGCGTCCCTCGTTGAAGGCTTTTACCCACCTTGCAATTGTTCTGTAAGTCAATGCAGATTTCCCGCAAGCCTCTTGAAGACCTTGATGACACTCGTGCTGTACAGCCTCTGGCACATTCAGTCTTTATCCAACTCTGTTGTTCCTGTTTCGAAAACATCGTGACAACACTACATTAGACCGCCAGCTAACATGAGGCTCTGTTCTTCTCATCACTGCGCATGCACATGATGTGGGAAGGAAGAGTCCATTTTCTCTGAGGTAAGGCAGGTATGTAACTGATGTGTGGTATAAGCAACATTATTTGGTTCCGTTGCATGGCATCTCTACAGCAGTGTTGCCACTATTAAAGTTCCAACCCTCATATTATTAGCTTTGCCCTGCAGTAAGAACTTTACTTATCTGTTTCATTCCTTGTTCAGAGGTATGTCATTCAATGCCTGCCATGTTATATTGGCTTTTGCCGTTGAAATTACCAGAACTGTTCATGGGTCCATATAATCAAGTCTCTAGTATTATATGTATTGTTCAGTAGAACGGTGTCATCATTTTTTCACCCTTATAACCAAATGTTGCAGTCATGTGGGCACTATTCATACTTCATATTCAGGAGGTCCTGGGTTGAAGTCCCTGCCCATAGATTAACCATCCTGACTGACGATTCTTGTGGTGTAGTCCACCCCTCAAGGCAGATGTCAGGATGCTGCCTTAAATTAGACCACAGCCACTTCCTTCCATGTCCCTTTAAATCCATTATTCGCTGATCATGTCATTTAATACCATGTCTGCAATTCACACCATCATTAAATACGTCAATTTATGTTGTGAAATTAAAGTTCTCCCTATGCTTAATTAAGTACCACACCAGCATAAGGCCACAAGAAGAATGGAGGTAGAGGTCCATGTATTCTTAACCTTCAGATGAGTGGTATACTTTATGTCTATGCTACTTTACCCTTGGGGAAAGAGCCCCCAGTACCCATTATGTATGAGACTGGGTGGTGCTCAAAGATGGTCGAGATGCTGTGAAGAAGAAAATAGTCACTGTCCCAGCTGACAGTGTACACTTAATTTCTCAAACGGTTTTGAGCCACCCACAAAAAAAAATGGCAGAATGTAATCTACTCTTTGTGTGGTGATGACATTTATCAATGAATAATTTACCTTGCACACTTACGAATTATCATTGATAAAAATCTTCATGTAAGTTGTGCGCTTTATTGTAACTGGGTAGCTGCACTGAACCTAGGACTGTGGTATCTTAGAATTATTAGTTACACCAGTAGTTTGAAAATTTTGATGCATATTACCATATCAGATGTGGAGGAATGTGTTTAACTAAGAAGTAATGGTGAGATATAGATATTTTATATTTCACCATTCTGTCCTGAAACGTTTGAGGACTCCTAAAATATTCATTTCTGGGATACTATGGTCATGGTCATATTTTGTTCTTTGGATATTTCACATAAAATAAATTTGTTATTCTATTTTATTATGTATCTTGAAATGTTATTACATTTTCTTTAGGTACTTCTCAATTAATTTGCTATGTCGGATTGACCGTCTCTGTGGTCTAGTGGTCAGAGTTCCTGGCTTCAATTTCGGAGATCCCGGGTTCGATTCTCGGCGCTACCAGATTTTCTGAGAAATGGTGGGTCTGGAACAGGGTCCACTCAACCTCATGAGGATAATTGGGGGGCTATTTCAAGGAAATATCGGCCCCAGTCTAGAAAACCGAGAGTAACAGTTGTGGGGATGCGTTGTGCTGACCACACGACACCCTCTGTCCGCCAAAGTTGGCACTAACTTCGCCGACAAGCAGCAGTCTCTTGGTCAGTATAGATCACTTCTGGATTACAGGTCGCACTAGTAAGAAAGCCAACCAGCAAACTGCTGAATTTTTACAAATATGCATTTCCTTGGCACTACAGCCCCAGTGGGCCTAGGCCTACCCCCATGAACTCCGTTCACTTCGGTTTTTCTAGATCTTACACATACGGTAGGACTCCTTTGGCGAGTGATCACCTCATCGCAAGGCCTCTACCTGTAGACAAACACAGAAAAACGCACACAAACATGCATGCCCTGAGTGGGATTCGAACCCACAATCCCGGCTTCCGAGCGAGCGAAGACAGTGCATGCCTTAGACCGCTCGGCTACCGTGACCGGCTACAAATATGCATACTGCAAGGTAATAAAGAAGGGGTCTGATTTTGCATTGTATACCTACAGTCCCACCAGAATTTTATGAGCTTTGTGAGCTTCAGGAACCATCTTTAAAACGGCATTGGCCAACTGTTTTCCAGGTATATTGATGGTTGTATATTTTACTTGCAAGTTCTGTTCTGCCACGATTTTCCTGACTTTATTCTGGCCACTTGAACTTGCAGCTACTCATATCACCATTTGGTTTTCATATGATATGACAGTAGTGCTACATTCTTCCATTTATGTTGGGGATTGCTACAGCATGCATAAGTATGGCCAGGAATTATAAAATCCTGACAAAACTAAATTGCACTTGATATACTAATACAAAGTATGAGATTTTTGCTTTTCATTGTAAGAGATTCAGAGTGCAATCTGGTATTTGGTTACAAGCATTTCAGATGAACCTACTTCCTCTGGCTTCAGGTTAGAGGAACAAGGGAACAGATTCCTTCAAAATGCTGGTAACCAAGTGTGGTTTGTCATAACCTGGAAGATCACATACTGAAATGTAGTTTGTGAGAGTATAATGTTTTTTTATGCTCCCAGCTATAGTGTTTTACCACTACCTACCAATCTGACATTTAGATGGGAGCACGTGTATGCACAATTTCCACTCTGCTCCCAATGATAAGGTCTAGTAATATGTAGCATAGAACCCATGATGGGTTGAAAGCTGATATATCTTATATTCACAAAAGAGACTGGTTATTTTATTTGATTTCATGTTAAGATAAATAACATGGGAAGTGGATGTGAAAGAAACAGGGCCCCCCCTGTGCAGCGTA